TTTTTTTTTTTTTTTTTTTTTTTGATAAAGGTTCCTCCTTCAGATTTAATTGTCCTTAAAAGTTTAATTTTTCGTTAGTTTATGTATCGGTTTGGTTTTATGTCAGCTTAATATGAAGGGTATTAATTAATTTTCAAGCCATTGAGGATGCAGGGTATTGATTAATTTTCAAGTTGAGCTTTTATAGGAGTAGATAGCGAGATTTGAGTCATAAAATCTTGCAATTTTATGCTCAAGTATGAAAGACTAAAGTTAAATTTGTAAAGATGTAAATATAATTTATTGCTTCTTAACATTCTCTTGTTCTGTTGTTTTAGCTTTGATCTTGCTTATAGGATTTTAATCATATTTGTTATGGGTTTGTTATCTAGGGGTGCTAAAGTTGGAGATTTTTCACATACAGAGGCTTTAGATTTGTCTTCTTAGTGACTCATGGGGACCCCAGAAACATCTCGAGAACCCTGCCCTGACCGTATCCTTGATGATATTGGTGGTGCATTTGGTATGGGTGCTGTTGGAGGTGCTGCATTCCATTTTTTGAAAGGTGTCTATAACTCACCTACTGGGGCTCGCCTGATTGGAGGCACTCAAGCTGTTCGCATGAATGCTCCTCGTGTTGGTGGTAGTTTTGCTGTTTGGGGCGGCCTTTTTTCCACATTTGATTGTACAATGGTCTATGTTCGACAGAAGGAGGATCCATGGAACTCGATAATAGCAGGTGCTGCCACTGGAGGTTTTCTTTCAATGCGTCAGGGACTTGGTGCTGCTTCCAGATCAGCGGTCTTTGGTGGTGTTTTGCTTGCTTTGATTGAAGGAGCTGGCATCATGTTGAATAAGGTTCTTAGTGCACCACAGAATATGCCTATCATGATGGAAGAACCAGCTCCCAATATGGCTGGCATGCCTGGAATTCCAATGGGACAATTACCAGGTCAAGCTCCAGTACCATCAATACCATCAACACCATCAGCACCACCAACACCAGCTGCATCTTCTTCTTCATGGTTCGGAGGGCTTTTTGGCGGTGAGAAAAAGCCAGAGACAGCAAGCAATGGAAGTAAGACCGAGGTTTTGGAGAGCTTTGATGCTCCTCCAGTGCCATCATTTGAATATAAATGAAGTGGTTGTTTGTCATTATGTTTTGTTGGCGAGATATCTCTCGCTTTAACGTTGATTTACTTCTTCTCAAACTCAAGAACTCATAGGGTGTATCTGCAGTTTTTCATTATACTTGAATCATATATTTTTGCTATTGCTTATGTTAAAATAAAACCATTCAGTTGGATAATTGAGACAAGTTAATGTCTTGACCGATCCTCTACTGGGTTGCGAGCATGATGGAGAAACCAGTTTGAACTCACTACTTATTAACGTTGACACGAACCTCCGAAAATTGTCACCTCCTACATAAGCCATTGTAACTGCAAACTGCAGTTGAACTTCTCTACTTGGCACCTCCACAACAACATTGACAACAGTGACCATAAATGTGACCCGTTACCGTCTTTAAATCCATTCTTCCAATTCTTCCCGAGAACCAGATTGGTTTCTCCAAGAGACAAAGGTCAAGACTCAAGAGGCAAAAGACAGCAAGACAGAGTGTGCGGGTGTGTGCTGGAGCACGAAGCTCGACATCAAGCTTTTGAATCTGATTTGGATATTGACAGAGGCCCTGTTATGGAGGTGGATGACGATGGAAAACCCAGAAGAACTGGTACTGTCCTCTTTTTTCTACCTCACTTCTACTGACAATACCAAGCATACTTATATCCAACATTAAAACCTACAGCATACACTATTTTTTCCAGCATCAAAACCTCCAGCATACACTATTTTTTCGGTTGGTTATTTGTGATTTCAGTAACTTCCTGGCTAACTCATTGAGGAAAACTCAATGAAAATGGAGGAAAAAATATCAGGGAACTTTTTCTTTTTTGTTTCCATTATATTTTTTGTATGCATTGGGTGGGCATTAAGGAAGGCAGAGAACCTTCTCTTCTGCAAAAGGGTAAAATTGGATACCCAAGAGAGAAATTGCTTATATTTAAGTGGGTTAAAATTTAATGTTTGCTCTGGCACCTTATAATTTTAATCTAAAAAATTTATTTTCTTTCCAAGTATTTAGAAACTTTTATTAATATATCAAAATGATTTATCTACCAAAATTTTATTAGTTTTTTAAATAAAGTTTTATGTCGAGCACCATGTGGCATAAGTGACACTAAGTATTTCAAAAATATACACTTAAATACTTAATCTTAAGTTATTTTTTTAAAAATTATAATTAATTTATGTTTCTTTCAAATTTTTAATTACTGTTTTTGATCAAATGAAATATGATTTATTTAGGTATAGTTACAATGCTATAATTTGCTTAGGTTATAAGTCTATATGGTGCCCCGTGGTTACTAATGTGGAATTTCATTAAAAGAACTTACAAGACGTTAACTAACATTTGAATGCCTTTTTCTTAAGTTTGTAGATTATTTTGGAACAAAAAAAACTTTCTAGCTCAAAGTGATAATGATTCAAAGAGTTAATAGACCAAACCAAAAATTTAGCCACTTAACATTCTTTCAATTTTTTAGTTTCACATCCTAATTGTTTATTCTTTTCATTTTAGTCCAAAAAACTTGTGTTTTGAAATGCCTGTTATGCAGGCACATTATGGACGGCGAGCGCGCACATAATCACGGCGATAATAGGGTCCGGCGTTCTGTCCCTCACATGGGCCATTGCTCAGCTTGGATGGATCTCTGGCGTCTGCACTCTCCTAGTATTCTCATGCATCACCTCTTATACTTCCAATCTCTTGGCGGACTGTTACAGATCTCCGATCACCGGCAAGAGAAATTGCTCTTACATGGAAGCTGTCAGAAGCCACTTAGGTAAATAAATTAATTCTCTAACTAACCTTTCTTTCATAAATTGTGCAACAGTGCAAGTTTTTTCCCCCAAATATTCAACCTTTAACAGGTGGAACCAAGTACAAGGCTTGTGGGTGCGTGCAGTATATCTACCCTTCTGGGATGACCGTTGGCTATACTATCACAGCATCGATAAGCATGGTGTAAGCTACCGTTTTTGCACTGTGATTTCCCAAAGAAGATTGAGAGGAGAAGAAAAGGGATTCATTTATTGATCCAGTTACTGGTTTTTTCAGGGCAATGCGGAAATCGAATTGCTTCCACAAGAGAGGCCATGATGGGGATCCGTGCAAGTTTTCGAGCAATCCTTACATGATTGCTCTGGGGATTCTTGAAATCTTCTTCTCTCAAATCGCAAACTTTCACGAGCTCTCATGGCTCTCCACCGTCGCTGCGGTCATGTCTTTTGGGTATGCATCAATCGGAATAGGACTCGCGTTTGCAAAGGTTGTGTCAGGTAAGTTTTAACGCAATCCATATGCTCGATGTCATTCCCATGCCACTTCTTGTTCAACGGTTCAAGTAACCAAATATACTGTACAATGACTTTGTCTTTAACAGGAAAAGGTGAAAGAACTTCATTGATGGGAATGGAAGTTGGTGTGGGCTTCAATGCGGCAGATAAAGTCTGGACGATGCTCAGGGCAGTTGGAGACATGGCATTTGCTTTTGCATATTCTACCGTTTTGATTGAAATCCAAGTAAGAGAAGCCAATGATCATAATAAATGGACACAAATCATGTCGTACTTTAGATTTAATTGAATGTTTATAAGGTGATTTTCCTGTGATATTCCAGGATACGTTGAAGTCTTCACCACCAGAAAATCAAACAATGAAGAAAGCTAACACAATAGGTATGTCTATAGCGACAACTCTATACTTGCTTTGCAGCTGTCTGGGTTACGCCGCTTTTGGTGACCGTGCGCCTGGTAACTTCCTCACAGGGTTTGGATTCTACGAGCGGTTCTGGCTCGTAGACTTGGCCAACGTCTTCATTGTGGTGCACCTGGTTGGAGCATATCAGGTAGCACACATCAAACTACCAACAATCTTGATTTCTCACCTGACAATTTAAACTTGTGGATATATTGAACCGTTCTCGATAGTCTTGAATTATTTCATTTCCAATCAATTTTTTTCCCACGTGAAAATTCTGAAATTAAATCAAAATTTCCAATGTCAGGTATTAGCTCAACCGGTATTCGGTGTAGTTGAAGCATGGCTGTACTCGCTGTGGCCTGAATCGAATCTCATAACAAAAGAATACCCAGTAAACATTGGCAGGAGAAAGCTCAGTTTCAGCTTATTGAGGCTGGTGTGGAGAACATTATTTGTGGTGATGGCAACAGTTCTTGCAATGGCATTGCCTTTCTTCAATGACATACTTGCTCTCCTCGGGGCAATTGGGTTCTGGCCCATGACCGTGTACTTCCCTGTGGAAATGTACATTGCTCAGAAGAAAATCAAACGTGGGTCAAGAAGTTGGGTTGGGCTCCAGATTTTGAACTTTGTTTGCTTGCTGGTTTCAGTTGCAGTAGCTTGTGGATCCCTTCAGGGGCTGAACCAGGCTCTCAAGTCGTCCAAGCCCCTCAAGTTCGAGGAGTAGCCCATAATAAGTTGCTAATTAATTTGGCAATTAAAGTACTATTAATAAACAAGTTTAGAAAGCCCAAAAAATTGCAATCTACCCCTACCAATAAACGAGAAAAACATGAGCGTTATTTGGTGAAGGTTTCCTTTTCCTAGATTTGTCAAATTGTACAGAGGAGAGGTAACTCTTTTTTTTTTTTTT